TCTTCACCGAGCAGCACTCTTGTCCCCTTTTTTCCATAAATAACACACGGATGCAGCAGTGTCTTCAACCGACTTGATGGTGCTCTCCTAAAAGTAGGCCACTTTTTGAGCATAGTTAACTCTGAAACTGTACTAATAATCTCTTGATTAGCTGCAAAGAAAACCTCAGCGGTATCACCCGCTTGGTAAAGAAGCGTTGACCTTAAAGCTGAGCGTGCCGAGCTGGCTGTTTTACCTGCCGCTTTAAGAGCAGGCTAATTTATATATTTTGCCGTGACTTTGTCAAAAAAATTATTGAACCGAGGCCTAAAACGCAGTCTAAGCATCCATTTACAGTCGATAAAGATAAATGTCTATGAAGTAAGGTTTATCCTGACTGGGAGGCAGTTTGATGCTGGTTTAGGGAGGAACCCGTGAGGTAGTGAAAAACCTCAACTTTTTTTGTTTTCAGCAGAAAACTGATGAGAACTGGAGGCCCCCAGCATTTTTCAGAGAGGTCAACAACGTCTTGCAAACGCAGGACCAAAACGGTCACTAGCCATGAGAAATAAATGAAGAGATCCCTACAGCCCTTGTCCAAAAGGACCATTTAAAAATAGGCAAATTATGACTCTCTCAAAAAGAAATGTATGCATTGCATAAATCAAAGTTCTCACACCCACCGTCAAAGTTTAATCACTTAATATGCTGGTCTTTCAACATGCTCTGAAACTTTGTATACACTAATACAAGCGATGGGGTTACGAAGCAATAGCAATTTATTCTGCTGTACAAACGGATGTTGCATGATAATCCTTAAAGCAACACAGAAGCCCTTTGCAGATGTTACTACAGCTTAGCATTTATTTTAATTGCTCTGCAGTGTAGCTCATGTGAAATAAAGTCATGGGGTGACCTACGCACTCACCTACTAAGGGTGACTTAATTGCAGACCGAAAGGAAAAAAAAAAAAAAAAGATGTTTTGAAAATTTTCAAGGTTTTACCAAAACACAAACCTCCCGCAGCTGTTTGAAGAAGATGCATCAGGGCTTCTGTCCAAGATCTGAAGCATGGCAGGGCGGGGGGGGGGGGGGGGGGTAATTTAATCAGACGGGCTATGTGACGCATGTATTTTTACTGCTCTTGCAAGAATAACTTCAGCAAAGTAACTTGAGATTATTTTGGTGTTTGACATTCACTCGGCAAAGTGCTAAGAAAATATGCTTACTGCGCAGATCGCTGCTTTCTTATAGCGGGAGTCGAGGCACCTTGACTCCCTCATTAAAGTCAGTGCGCTTTTCTTTATCACCGGCCGGGTACCTGCTCCCTCGTTTCTCCTTCAGCTCACTTTCTAAATATAGAGCCTTTCGAGCGTTGCTCTGGCTCAAAGAGCTGCCTGGAAGCGGTTACTCTGGTGAACAGATTTCAAGCAGAAGGACAAAGTTAAACATGAGGCAAAGTATAAATAAAAACCAAGCCTCTCTTCCTGCTCTCCGCTCGCTAGGGATGATCTCACCGCGCTGGGTGGATTACGAGGACGGCTCGATCGCTGCCGGGAGAGCACATTCCCTAACCTCCATCCTGCTGCTATTTATAGCCCTCGCTGGGAGCCACCAAGAGAAGCGGCTCCCGCAACCTTGCGTTTCGCTTTTGACGGGGGCGCGGGGCTGGCGAGCCCGCTGGCTGAAATGCAACAGCGAGGGCTGCGGTTTCTCCTCGTTTGCCCCAAAATTAGGGACCCCCTTCCACTTCCCGAGCGGTGGGGAAGGCTGCCGCCCTCTCTACCCCCCAAGCGCCCCCAGCCCCGCCGGCGATTCGGCCCGAGCGAGGACGGCGCATCCCCCGGCCCCGCAAGGAGCAGGAACAACCGTTATGAAACCAAGTTTATTAAAACTTTCTACAAGTCAGACTTTATCATCCAGGTTTCCACAGGATATATACATATTTACAAGGTGGACATAGTGTTTTTAGCTTTTCTGGCAGAGTCTTCTACCAATATATACAAACGTACTGCTTTTCATAGAAGGGTTAAACTGTATCACAGATACAAATGTCAAGCAATCATGAGAGGTTTAGTGCAACGGAGAGCGGTAGCGCCCTGCTCTTAATGCTCATGATTCTGTCAAGTTAGTATTGCCAACAAGAATTCACATTAAATTGCTCTTCGACACCTCTTAGTAGGACAAAGGAAGTACAACAAAACAAAAAAAGACGACACCCCTCCCTCCCCCGGCCCCGAACGGTAAGGTATGTACAGAGCACGCAGCCCATGAGGTATACGTGGTATTCTCACCACGCGTGGTGGCACGGCACCTTGCCGCGGGGGGACCCTTCCAACGACCTGGTCGTCGCCGGGCCGTGCTGGGGATGCGCACTAACCACCGAACATCCCTTTCCAAAACCGCGCTCGCGCCTAACGCGAACGGACGTCTCTTGACACTGGACGCAAACGTGAAAACAAAGCAGAAATCTTAGGCAGGACTAAGCTTGACTTACCCCCAAGCCAGGCAGCTAAGGATTTAGATCTATTCGTTATCCACGCACATTGGAAAGACTAGGAATAATCATGCAAAAAAAAAAAAATTTTTTTCTTTTTGGGAGGGGAAAAAAAAAAACGTAGCTGGAGGCAAACAACCTTCCCCCAACAATCAACTTAGGATGTATAGAGATTTTATGCTTAAGACTACCTTCCTGGGGATGGGGGGGGGTGCAGGGAGAGAGAAGAGATGTGATGTTTTAAAGACTTGAGCCTGCAGGAAAACACAAAAGTGTTTACATGTACTGTACAAGATACCCCTTATGGTTTTCGGAGGGAAGGCGCCCCACCCGATAGTGTTACATTTTGGTAAACGGATATGTTTTGGCACTCAGAGCTGACAAAACCTGCTACTTGCAAAACTCACTGAGGGCATTAAACCATATAGAATAGGCCATGGTGACTTTGGGCTTAAGTACGTTTAAAGCACTTGCACGTTCAGCAAATGAAATCAGAGGGTGTGCGGCTGCGAGATCCACTACTGTCTCCTTCGTAAAGAGTCACAGCAGCGCTCGCGGTAGTGACTTGTCTTACGGATGGATCTTTAACAGCTTCACGTCATTTACCTATGGAAAAAAGCTCAACTGGAGCAACGCGCAGGTAGCCGGACGCGGCGGATTAAGACCTCCTTCCCTCATGACTTACAGTCAGAAAACCACTTTGCAAGACTGCCACGGTGGCACTCCAAGTCGATTCCCCTTTTTACCAACTCCTGTCAGATTTGCTCAGCTAGGAAGGTGCCTTGTGCCCCCCCCACTCGCTACCTTTCACCGGTGGGACCCTCTTAGCCGCTGAGGATGGGGAAACCCAACGTTTCTGCCTCTTCCGTGCCCAGCAATAAGGCTCTGCGATCAAAACTGAGCTGGTCACAGCAGCAGAGGACACGGGAGGCATCAGATGAGCCAGGTGGCTCCTGCGCGGGTTCTCCAGGGCCAGCGGCAAGGACCCACCAGCAAAGCAAGCAGGTGAGACTCAGCATACACTCAGGCAGCGGACCTACTGCTTGACATTTATTTTAAACAAGGTCACTTTTCTGACCCTACTGGCACTTTAAGATGCTGTGAATTTGCAACGTGGAAAAAAAAAATAAAAAAAAAAACAAAAAAATGATGCCGTGCGTGAGAATTGTGAGGTTTTTCTGAGATTTTCAGGATTAGCAGAAGAAGGAACTAATATCGTCACTGTCTCCGTGATATTCTGGAACAATTTGATCCGAAGTTCCCGTTTCCTGGTCTGTATATCCAGGCTCCAAGACCGCTTCGAACCAAGGATGAAGCAAGATCTCTGGAGCAGTGAGTCTTTCGGAGGGCTCCCGCCTCAGGAGGCTGCGGATGAGGCATCTGGCTTTGGGAGAGACGTGGTCAGGGATACAGAACTGTCCACGCCGGATTTTCGAAAAGAGACTGCTAGGATCCGAGTCGTGGAAGGGATAGCGTCCCACCAGCAGGGTGTAGAGCATTACTCCCAAACTCCACACGTCAGCTGATTTCCCGGAGTAAGTCCCTGTCGTGTTGAGGATCTCAGGGCTGACATACGCCGGGCAGCCGTGTTTGTCAGAGAGCGCGTCATCTTCGCCCTTGATGATGTGCGTGTCTTCCAGGCTCTCGAGCCGCAGCTGAGTCCTAAGGAGCGCAGAAAAGGCAGGCACACGTTATAAATCTGCGGTAGCGAAAGACGGGCACGACTTTAACAAGAAAAGCCGGGGCAACCCCAGCATCCCTGTCTCGCTTCAGTGCAAAGGAAAGGGAGAGGGCGGCCACTTTTCAGCCTGAGATGGAGAAGTTCTCCCCGTTATCCTGGAGCCGTGCAGCGCAAGCGCGGCTACGTGCATCAGTGACGCCCTGTGTGCCCAGGCGGTGACGCCAGCTTGTTTACCGCGGGGCTTTAACAGTTATCGGGGGCTCTCGAGGAACAGCAGCAAGCTGCCCTATAACCGCGCCGGGTCAATCTGCTGTGGCGCGCAGCGCGCGCTGCTGTTTGCAGTCCCAGCTTTGAGCAAACAGCGTGCAGCTGCACGGTTGTTCAGACTCAAAAGTCCACATCTCCTCTGCGCTTGGGGTTATCCTCAACCCTCCTCATCTTTTATTTTTGCCCTTTCCAGCTGGTACCACTGCAACGGGCAGCCTCCCAAAGAGGGGTCCACCCTGACCTGCTGTTTGGGTTAAAGCAGAGCTTTTAATGAGTCAAGGAGCCGTTCACGTGCTCTGGGAGGGCTCTGCTCTGCCTTGCAGTCTGCTGGGGTGTAAATGCGTTAACTGCAGCCTGTCCTCGGTGTGACCTCCTGTTGTAATGCAAAATACCCATTGGTTCTGTAAACGGAAAATATGACTCAATGCGGACTGTGGGCCCGGGATTGGCTGCTGCAGCGCTGAAACTGCACCTGTGCTTGCTAGCCGAGGAGTCTGCCTCGCGTTGCTTAACCCTCTTGTTGCCAAATTTGATGCACATGACATTAGCCTGTGCAATGCATATTTCCAAATTAGCGAGACTGTGTGCAATCTAACATTTCAACAAATGTTTCACCTCATTATGGGCGGGAAAAGCTGCAATAGCTTCCTTCAAAGGAATTACTTTCTTTGCATGACAACATATGGTTGTTTCTGTGTCAGAGGGGCAGTTCTAGTTCATTTTCTTATCATGTTCGTACGCTGCATCTTCAAGGAGTATCAGCCGAGTTCAAAAAAATACACTTTTCTCTGCTTCACTAATAACACTTCAGGTTTCATCAGACTAAGCACAACTCCGTTAAAGCTCTTGCTTATTATAGCCGTCAATGGGATAAGCACCTAATCAATGTCAGTTTTGCTTATTAAAATACATTTCTGGCTCTGCCGTGCTAGTGATGGATCTCGAGAGCAGCAAACACACCCGGGAAATGTGAACTAACTCCCTCATCTAAAATTAAAAAGTAATTGTGAAAGTATTCCTATTAGAATCGGCTTAGAATCATCTCTCTATAAACCTATGCTTTAGGCTAAGTTTTATCAAGGTGTTGCTTTGTGGGTTTTTTTTTTCCCCCCCTTAGAGAAGAATTCCCAAAGTCAGATTTAACCATGTAACACCCTCGCTCCTGTGCGTGCCCACGTCCATGTGTACGTGGGGTGCAGAAACCATCAACGTCACCGCTGGCAGGGATGAGAGAGAGAAAAGCTTCAAAGGGCACAGCAAATCTATCCTTAGAAACACAACTCTGATAAGAAGCTATCAGAGAAGACCCTTGCTGGTGGCTCCTCTCTCGGCGCTGAAAGGTGCCGGGGGGGGGGAACCACCAGGGGCAGCTGGCAGGGCCATGGGGCTCTCCCCGGGAACGGGGATTCCTCCCTCTTCCTGCTGCCAGAGCAGAGCTGTTATCCCTTTCGCGTGCCTAGTGCCTGAGCCTCCTTTCGCCCGCGGTCTGTGCCTTTTAGTCATTTCTTGTCGAACGCATTGCACGGATGATATATATTTGGACATCTGGCGCTAAGGAGCGCTCGCACGATCATCCCTTTTTCCACCAAAGGGTTTCGTCAAACTTTTAGTGAATGAGTGCAGGCTGACGCTGAGTTTCCTCAGCTTCATCAGTCAAGATCGGACTGAAAATAAGCGCGGACCAATTAGATCCGTGACTTATTAAATATACGTAACATGGACGTACTCGGATCTTGTAGGTGACGCCTGGTTTACCTGGAGATTTCCACTCCCTGGAATACTTTTTGCCTAAAAACATGGCATTTCTCAGTGCGGCAGTTCTCCCTAGCGCTCCCTCCCAGAGGCTGGCAGGCGGTAAGGGCTTACCTTTCTTCATTAGAAAAGACAAATTTCCTGAGCTTGAGGTCACCAAGTACGATGGCCGACTGGTGGCAGTGAGCTACAGCTGAGACGATCTGCTTGAAAAGCCGGGCGGCTTCCTCTTCCCGCAGCCTTTTGCAGCTCCTCACATAGGAGTGCATGTCCCCAAAGTCCTTTTCGAAGAAGACATAGGCCTTGGTGTCTCCGAGGATCACTTCTACGACCCCGGTGATGTTCCTGTGTGACGGCAGCTGAATGTAAGGCCGGATCTTGTCCTGGTAGTGTTTGAGAGGGAACACCTGTAAGGAGGAAAGTAAAGCGAAATTCATTGTCAAGGCGTTGAAACCGGCCTCTCTCGTAGCAACTCGCCCCAAACAATGATGAGGGAGCTGGAAAAGCACCAACGCTCAGCAGCAAAGCTGTTCCCGAGACCCCTTCCAAGGCTATTAAAGCACTGTTAACTTTATGTTGGGCGGGGGAGCACCACCCAAAGCCTTTAATATCCACCAAGAGCCTTTCTGGTTCTCTAAGGTAATCCACAGCCGGAGCTTATTTTCCGCGCTGGCAAACGCC